CCCTCCTGAAATATGATTGTTAAAATAATCAGAATAGTCATTTACTGTAAAAAAGTAGGTTTTTGTTATGTGCCTTATGCTAGTTTGGTTGTTGCTATAGAGCACAGTGTTAATTTGATAAATTAAATGTTGGTCCCTTATTATCCTTTATTCATGGGGCAGTGCAGGGAGGAACCGCTGGGTGGTGGGGAATCAATTAATACAAACACCCAGTGAGTTCCAGCAGAAAGCAAGTCTGACCTGGGAAATGATCCCATCTGTTCACATTTTAACTCCACCTAGCTTGGTCTGACTTGTCACCTGTAGCACTTCATCAAGTACAGTGCTCACTCATAGGCTGTTCTTGGGGTCTAGACTCTGAGCCATGGACCTGTAAAGTGCAATTTCACTCTGAAAAACACCTCTGTAAAAATGACATGGTGGAATTCCAAGATTATTGTTTCTCGGTGACTCAGATCAAATCTGCTTAGTTTACAAATACAACGTTTGTGCCTCTTTTTATTTGTGCTGAGCACCCATAATGCCAATGGGAACTTCTGGTGCACAGTGTCTTTGGAAATCTGGCCATTTATTTCAAACAGTGAGCCCTGCCCGCTGAGACTGGGCTCTGAAAGACCAGCTGGGTTCTTTCTGGCTCACACATCAACCACTTAAAACTAAAGTTTCTGTGATCAGAACTTAGTGAACTATTCTGTTATAATCAGAAGTGAAAGTAAGCCTGTCTGGTCTGGTCCAGCTTCTCTGGCAGTGATTTAAAGGGTCCAGGGCTCCAGCTGCTAAATATTGAAAGGCCCTGCCTCTCCCGGTTGAGGCCAAGCCCCCGCTCAGGAGTCCGGCATACTGGTAAGTCCTTTAAGTTATTTGACCCCCTGGTTATAATACACAAACCAGAACAGAATTCAGGTTGTTCTCTCACAGCCATGTTGGCTGTACAATGCTAACGAGTAAAAAAGCAGTACAATCTTATTTAAGTCCCTAAAGCAAGCAGATGTGACTCTGAATACACAAAAAGGAGCATCTTTGTTGACTAAGAAGGTGCAATTTATACCTAGTCACTATTCAGGGTAAAGCTACATTCTAAATCAACACATGGAACTCCCATGGTAGTTGCCCTGTACTGCAGCATCACCCAGCACCCGTCTGGCTTTCCTTCAAATGGCTGAAGTTCAAAGTAACGGTGCAGCTCCAATGCAAAGCAGAGCTGACTGAGCCTCCGAGTTGCAAGTTTAGAGACTGTGGTTGCTGACTCCTCAGCTAGAGCCCTCCAGCTGTGACTGTTTGTGAGTTGGTCATTATTTAACTACTTAGAACATTAATAGGTTTGCATATCACTGCTATGTAAACATCAGAAATAAACTGTTAATCATTTAAACACCAAGTTTATCTTTTTGTTTAGAGGAACATCCTCCAGTAATATAATTATCAAACCTCGCTATTAAGCAGGGTGTTATCAGATACATTTTTTTTTAAAGCAAGAACAATTGCTCCCAATATTATTGTGTTTATTCAGCTGAAAATAAACATTCTGTAAATTCGACTGGAATTAGTTGACCTTATTTTCTTTTCATATTACAAGCTGTAAACCACTCCAGTTGTACATTTCATGCTTAAAGTGTGCATGCCAAAAGCAGAATTAGATCAGAGACATACTTACCTGTCATGTTTGTAAATTGTTCTAGTTGTGGAGCAGCATTTGGCCCCAAGGCAACAGTGTGAATGATCGATCCACTATTTTTCACCTCCGTAAGGCAAATGTTCATACCCCTATCCTCTCCATCTGTCAGCAGTACAATTTCAGAACCATCGAGATTAGAGTATTTTTGTTTAATCACCTGAATGG